TTTCACATGATAGCGAACGGGAAACATAGAAAGAAGAAAATAATTCAATTGGAGCAGGACGAGGGTACGATTGTAGGACAAGAGAACCTAAAATTATACATCTCCAATTTCTCTAAGAAACTCTTTGGGGCTCCCGAATAAAATTTTGTGTCGCTTGATGAGCACACAATCGATGACATACCTCAGCTCAATTCAGACATGAACGAGGTTTTGTCTTCCTGAGAAAGAGGTGTTTGAGGCGGTATCACATATGAAGCACCACAAAGCTTCGGGACCGGATGGGTTTCCGGCAGAATTTTATAAGAGGTGTTGGCATATCATTAAGGGAGACCTTATGCCTATGTTCCATGATTTATTTAATGGTTATCTACAATTATTCCATCTAAACTTTGGAACAATCAATTTGTTTCCAAAGAAAGAGGAGGTTGTGCGCATTGAACAGTTCAAACCGATATGTCTGCTTAATGTGAGCTTCAATTTTTTTACTAAGGTTGCCACGAATAGGCTCATGTAGATTTCCCATTCTGTTGTGCAACCAACACAGACAGCTTTCCTGCTTGGGCGAAACGTTCTAGAAGGGGTTGTGGTCCTACATGAAACTCTTCATGAAATTCATTCGAAGAAACTAGATGGGGTTATTTTGAAAGTGGATTTTGAGAAGGCGTATGACAAGGTCAAATGGTCATTTCTCCAGCAAGCCCTACGGATGAAGGGGTTCAATGAAGCTTGGAGGAAACAGGTGGATTCTTTTACTCAGAAAGGTAGTGTTGGATTAAGGTAAATGATGACACATGTCATTATTTCTAGATACTTAAAGGATTACGACAGGGTGACTCGATGTATCTTGTTCTATTTAACATAGTAGCGGATATGTTGGCAGTCCTTATTAGTCGTGCTAAAGAGAATGGCCAAGTCAATGGACTAGTTCCACATTTGGTGGATGGGGGAGTGTCCATATTACAATACGTCGATGACACGATTCTTTTCATGGAACATGATATTGCTAAAGCTAGAAATATGAAGTTAGTGCTTTGTCTTTTTGAACAGTTGTCGGGCCTTAAGATTAACTTTAACAAAAGCGGATTGTTCTGCTTTGGGAGAGCAAAAGAGGAACAAGACGCATATAAACAACTGTTCGGCTGTGAAATGGGTTCGCTACCGTTTAGCTACCTACGGATTCCCATTCATCATCGCTGTCTGACTAATAAGGAGTGGAAGTGCATTGAAGATTGCTTCGAAAAAAGGCTAAGCTACTGGAAGGATAAGCTTATGTCCTATGGAGGTCGCCTCGTCCTAATAAACTCGGTGTTGATGAGTTTGCCGATGTTCCTCCTATCTTTCTTTGAGATACCAGTAGGGGTATGCAAAAGACTAGACTTCTATCGATCCTGTTTTTTCTGGCAATCTGATGAGGATAAGAAGAAGTACAGGTTGGTCAGATGGGATATCATTTGCAGGCCCAAAGATCACGGTGGGCTAGGGATCAAAAATTTAGAAGTTAAAAATAAATGCCTTCTCTCCAAATGGCTTTTTCGTCTATCCACTGAGATCGAGGGCACGTGGATTCAAATTTTATGTAATAAATATCTTCAATCTAAGACTCTGGCCCAGGTCACTGCTAGACCTAATGACTCACCTTTCTGAAAAGGATTGATGAAGGTGAAAGTCTCCTTTTTTTCAGAGGGTTAAATTCATCGTTGGTATTGGTCTTTCGACCAGATTCTGGGAGGATACATGGTTAGGGGAGACGCCCTTAGGCCTCCAATATCCCGCTCTTTATCATATTGTACAACGTAAGGAAGATTATATTGCTACAATATTGAATTCGGCCCCCCTTAATATCCAATTCAGGAGGTCTTTGGTGGGGGACGGTGGACTTCATGGTTACACTTGGTCCGTATGTTGATAGCAGTTCAACTCTCTAACCAAACGGATACCATTTTTTTTGGAAACTATCAGTGAATGGTAGTTTTCCTGTGAAGTCCTTGTACATGGATGTTATTGATACTGGGTCAATTCCGAGATCACTTCACATATAGAGGGCTAAAGTTTCGCAAGAATTAAAATCTTCATATAGTTTGTGCACAAGGGAGTGATCTTGACGAAAGATAATTTGATTAAGCGAAACTGGGTTGGGAGCCCTCGTTGTAGTTATTGCGATCAGGATGAATTTATTGAACACCTCTTTCTTGACTGTCTCCTGGCAAAATTATTGTGGCGTACGATACATATAGCCTTCAACATTAACCCTCAATTTTGCATGAACACGTTATTTGGAACGTGGCTAAATGGAGTGGATTTAAACATAACGAGACATATTTGGATAGGAGTATGCACATTATTATGGGTTATAGGAACACTAAGAATGACATAATCTTCAACCGGAAAAACTTTATCAACTTTTTGCAGGCTATCTACAGAGCTAATGCTTGGATCCGTGCATGGTCGTTACTCACCTATACGGATTCCAGAGAGCGTTTGGATACTGGGTGCAACAGATGGGAGACGGTCACACGCGGTATCTTCAACCGATTTGGATGACGAGCTACTAATAGGCTAGATGTGTAGGCATCCTGGCCTGTTGCTATTTCGCTGGATGTGGCACATTTTTATTTCATTTTGTTTTGTTCCGTTTGAGAGCCAGACTTGGACTATAGACTTATGTTCGTACTTATTTTAATATTATGGCCGCATGCATCAATCTGATGCAGAGGCCAAGGGTTATCCTTCTTTTCCAAAATAAATTTATGTTTGTGGACGGAGGAAGTAGTAATTACGAGCTCCCTCCGTATAAAACATGGTTTTTTACTTGTCTTTTCAAAATAAATAGGAAAAACACAAGAAATAGGAAAATCAAATGAATTCTGCCAAGATACTTTAGTGGATGGAAATTGTCTTTTGAAAATAGAGTGCAAATGAATGCTAAGGAAAAAAATCATAAGAATTTTAATACTGCAAATCAAATGGCCAACATTAGGCAAATTCATAATGATCTAAAACCCTAAATATTCTATGAAATTCTTTTGATTCAAATGAGCCATCACACGCTAGTTTGAACCAATGGTTTCTGAGACTATCTTTCACAAAATCTGAAAGCATTGCCTTTCACGTGGCCAGTTCAGAGTACATCTATATCATCTCTTGAAAACCAGGGAGTTTGACTGCTAGCTTCACCACACGGACAGCCATGGTAACCAACCTAGACCAGATCCGGGAGGAGAGGTTTTAACCCAACGGCTCCGGAACAAAACGCATAGCCAGCAAGTATACTGCACTAAGATAATGTTGCAGCAGTGCAGCCTGCAGCAAGGAGTGGGTGTATGTGTATTGTTTTGTTGCGTGTCCGAGAGCGAGAGTGGTTGGTGCCCATCTCGCATGTCCATCCCCCGAGTCCCAACACTCTTTGGAGTTTTCTGATGCACAAATAGAATATATCTGGGATCCATGTTTGTGTCGTCGCCCAAAGGATCACGGGTGTTGTACAGTACATGCTCGGCGGTATCCTGAATGGTACACCGCCAAGACAAAGCAAATGTAGCCTGAAAACGAAATGAATGTAGGTTGCTACGAGTATGGCATAATGGCAACATGGGAAAAGGCATAATAAAGAAGCAAATGGCGATAAGAAGGCATGTACTGTACTACTACTACTAGTTCAGTAGGTGTTCCCAGTGGTACACACCAGTGGCGGAGCCAGGATTTTTTACATGGGTATGCGAAGCTATATTTTTTTGTAACATATAATAATATATGACATGAAAGTTCACAATGACCATGATGAACTACAATTTGTCTTTCTAGAGACAATCTCGAATAGTTTGGTGGCATTTTGAAAATAAGGAGAAAAATATAATTTAACACTATAGTCTACAATTTCAATATCACTGCCAACTGCCAAGTCAATTTAGCTCCTCTCTCAAGTGTTAACCGAACAAATGCAAATTAGTGCTTAAATTTGATTGAATGCAACAGACTACATTGAATTAGCTAATAAAATTATTCTGAAAGAAAATCAATCAATACATTACAAATCATTCTATGTTCTCAAAAATAACAAATCCAGATGAAAAGCTCACATAATTACATTATTGCCTTGTTGACGTGGAGCGTGCTGCATGCGCCATGCTTGTTGAGGACAAGGCGTGATATTGGGATATAGCAGGAGGGCAAGAGACAGGGCTGGTATATAGGCAGTTCAAGGTCTGTTGCAAGTTTAAAAGTCTACTGATCCGATAGCAGCTCAAGCTAATACTTAGGCCCAGACACGTAAGGAATGAAGTGGGAGGGCACGGGATGGCTATGCATTTTGTTTTTTCCTGAGTTCTACACGTGAAAAGACTGCTATCATGCATATACATGTATGTATGGACATATATACTGATTCTCTTTTGTCAAAATTGTTGGGTATGCATTGCATACCCTTGAATAAGTCTAGCTCCGCCCCTGGTACACACCCGCCAAAACAAATCCATCCTGAAAATGATTCTACTCCCAACAGTTCCATGGAGTCCTACAAGTATAGCAACATGGGATAAGGAAGCAAATGGCAAGACGTGTACTGGTTGTTCGGTACCATCGTATTGAATGCCATTTGGGCAGAGTTTTGGCCATGCAGAGTGTATGTATCCAAGGGACTCCTGTAGATGGATCTTGGAAGATCCAAGCTGCAATTGACCACGCATGCAGACCGCTTTGATGACCAGGGTGACAAACGAGTGCTTTCTAGGCTGGTGCGAGATTAGTACAGCGGCGATAACATGTTGGTCTTATTTTGTGTCCAGACGTTTGATCGGGAGAGATGCAAGTAAGTAGAACGGACCATCAACATCCGGGATGCGCGAGCGAGCACGCACCAATTCCTTTCAGAAACTGGACGGGACAAAAATCATGGTGTACAGCACAAGAAAACCACGAGCACCGGAGAAGAAATCAACAAGCAGAACTCGCCATGGCCAATGGAGGAGGGGAAGGGGAAGGGATGATCGGAACGGTCGAGGTCGTCACTGTCGCTGCGCGGAGGCGGAGGAGTTGGAGGAAGGAGACGGGATCCTGTCGATGGCCTGGAGCACGTCCTTCATGGCGGGCCGCTTGCCGGGCGCCGCGGCGCAGCACGCGAACCCCAGCCTCAGGCAGCTCGCCAGCGTCTCCTCCCTGCCCTCCATCTCCCCCCGCAGCGCCGCGTCCGCCAGCAGGAACGCCTGCTGCCCGCTGTCCTCCCCCGCCGCCCACTGGCAGAGCTCCACGCTCGTCAGCGCGCGCCCGGCCACCAGTTCGAGCAGTACCATGCCGAACGAGTACACGTCCCACTTGGTGCTCGGCTTCGTCGGGTTCTTGGCCGCCTCCGGCGCCTGGTAGTGCGCGGCCGCCTCCGCGGAGGAGGAAGGCCCGGCGCCGGCCAGCGGGCTCGCCCCTCCTCCTGCTGTCCCGGGTGGCGGCGGCGACAGGTCCGGCAGGCTCTTGGCCGACCGCTTGCTCCCGAACCGCCCCGCCGGCTTCAGCCTGCTGTCCCCGGCGCCGCGGACCAGCCGGTGGATGCCCAGGTCGGCCAGCAGCGGCTCCATGTCCGCGTCCAGGAGGATGTTGCTGGGCCTCACGTTGCCGTGCACGCACTTCTTGTCGTGGAGGTAGGCCAGGCCGCTCGCCACGCCTCGCGCGATGCGCAGCCGCGCGCTCCACCCGAGGCTCATCGGCGGCGTCCCCGGCTTCCCTGCTCAGCGATCCATCGAGCCGCGTCAGCAATGCGCAGCCAACGCTAAATGAAATTAATGGCGCGTCTACGTCGAGTTGGGTTGCGTGCTTACTTTTCACGGAGGCGTTTGCGAGGCTGCCATTGGCGGCCAGGTCGTGGATGAGGAGCATCTCGTCGGGGCCCCAGTAGAAGCCGCGGAGGCGCAGGATGTTGCCGTGACGGAGCTTGGCGATGGCGCGCATCTGCGCGTCGAACTCGCTGAACCGCCTCACGCCAGCGTCCTCGCTGCCGATCCTGCGCACGGCCAGCGCCGCGCCGTCGGCCAGCACCGCCTTGTACACGATGCTGTCGCCCGCCGCGCCCAGGATGTAGGCCGACGCCTTGAGCAGCGTCTCCAGCTCCAGCTCCACCTCGCCGTCCACCGTCACCAGCACCGACCTCTCTTTCTTCTTGGCTGCCACCGCTCCCTCGCCTGCCTTGTGGTTCTCCTCCTTGGCAACGAAGGAGGAAGACGTGTCCGTCACATCCTCCTCCGTGTCGTCGCTGTCGTCGCCTGCCTTCTTCCCGGGACAGCACGACAGGCTCCGGCCGGCGACGTCGGGCGACTCGTCCGACGGTTCCGGCTTCTTGAACACCGCTGCTCCCATCCTCTGCTTCGCCACCTCCTGCCGCTGCTTTCGTTTCCTCACCTGGTACACGTAGAAGAACACCGCGAACAGGACAGCGATGCCGGCCACGTCGCCGGCGGCAATGGCTATGATGGTGGCCAGCTTCAGCCTGCCTTGTCCTCCTCCTGATGACGGCGCTCCACTGCCGGGCATCGTCTCGGTCGGGTTGTTGGGTATGGCCGCAAGGGCCGGGGGCGACTTTGCCGTCCCCTTCGGGGGATCCACGGCGGAGGTGGAAGCATCGGAGCAGAGGCTGTCGAGCGGCCTCCCGCACAGCTCGTCGTTGCCCGCGAACGCCGTCGCCCTCTGCGCCACGAACGGCGCCACCGTCGGGATCGCGCCGGTGAGTTTGTTGAAGGACAGGTCGATGGTGACGTTGGCCGGCAGGTGCGACGCCATTTCCAGCGGTATGGCCCCGGCGAGCTGGTTGGAGGAGAGGTTAACATACCGCAGCGCGGCGCCTCCGAAGTCCGCCGGGAGCGTGCCGTTGAGCATGTTGGAGCTGACGTCGAGCACCTGCAGCGCCGGGAACCCGCCGCCGGGGAGCGCGCCGGAGAAGTAGTTGCTGGAGAGGGAGACGGCGGTGAGGTTCTGGAGCAGGGTGAGGTTCCCCGGTATGGCGCCGGAGAGCGCGTTGCCGGCGAGGTTGAGGGCGCGGAGGCTGCGCAGCTGGCCGACCTGCTCCGGCAGCCCCCCCGTGATGCCGTTGCTGGCGAGCGAGAGGATGCGGAGCTCCGGCGCGCGGAACAGGTCGACGGGGAGGGTGCCGTTGAGCGCGTTCCCGGAGAGATCGAGGTGGCGGAGGTGCTCGATCCGGCCCAGCTCCGGCGAGATGGGGCCGACGAGCTGCTCATTGGGCAGGATGACGCTGACGACCCTCATCTGGTCCGACGAAGACGTGGCGGGGAAGGCCATGCAGACGACGCCGTTCCAGGCGCAGGGCGTGGGGTCGGCGTAGCCCCAGCCGGAGAGGGAACCGAGGGGGTCGGCGAGGAGGGAGGACTTGAAGGAGAGGAGCAGCACGCCGTCCTGGTCAAGCGCTACGGCGAGCTGCGACGTCGCGTGGACGGCCAGCAGCAGCACTAGAACCCACGAGATAGGGAGAAGCAGAGGGCGGCGAGCTGCGGCGGCCATGGATGCAGCAGGGCGGCCGTGGCTGTGCGATGGTAATGGCAATGGCATGTGGTAGCATGGAGGTCGGAGAGGGCATAAGAAGCAGGGTTTTGGGTGGCGACGCTGGCTCTGCTCCTCACTCCCTTGGATTGGTTGAGGTGGTGGTTCACCAAAACTGCGCCAAAGGTTGAAGGAGGAGGGAGAAGATGCGGGAGTGAGTGAGTGGAGTCAGAGCATAGTCAAGAGTGAATTAGATCCCCTCTTGGTATCCTAAAGTATCGAAACATTGGAGTTGGGAGCCAAAGGGTGCTCTGCGTGAGAGTCTAGTGGGGTTTGGTTGATGGTGCTCTGTTTTCTGCGTTTGCGTGTGAACTTTTGGGCCCGGCGTCCCAAGCCCTCAGCTCATGCATATGCATAGAAGGAAGGAAGGAAGGGGGTGAAGCGGAATTGGTGAAAAGGTGGCTGCTTTGGGCCAGGGCAAGGGCCCCTTTTCACAAAGATGAAAATAGGAGTGCCGAATCATGCAAAGGGGTGGTATGGTGGTATACATACACGCACAAAAGTAGCTAATTCGTGTGTGAAAAGTACTAGCATATTTGCAAGATCCAGCTGTGATGATTTTTTCCTAGACAATCGAGCTGTGATGATACAAAACGGCGATAGAGAGGACGGGGGACCAATAGGTGCGATACGTACGGGGCAACGTCCACGGCGCAAGGTAACGACGGCGCATGTGGAGTGTACCGTTGGTACATAATATGAATCGCGGTACGTGACGGAGATGGACACAAGTTCCCTCAAGACAACGGCCTACACATAGCGGAGGAAAATAAATGCCAGCTCGGGGCCACCACAAAGGCCGAGCCCCCAACCCCTACCCCGGCCCTTCATTTCGACTGATCTACATCGCCATCAGCAAAGACGAGAGGTCATGGCGACGGCGGAGGAGGTCGGCAATGGACTGGAGTTCTTATCAGATCTGGTGGATAGGTATGGTTGCTAGTTAATCCCGTGGACGTACTTACTCTGAATCTTTTGCGGCAACTACTCAAGGATGCGTGGGGCGATTTGCAGGTTCCCCTTGCTGGATCTTGCATCAACCGATTTCAACTCAGCAGGTGAGCCAGATACTTGTTTTACACAGTCAGCTGTTGAATCGAGCATGGGAGATATTGGCGATGCGCCGCTTACAATCCAGGTCGCCGAGAACAACGGCTGTGAGGAACTGAGCTTGTCGGCGGCCGATTCACAACAATCAACAGGAAAAGATGACCGTCAGGCCCCCGGGTGGACAAAAAGGTACCCCTCTGTTCGTCTTGTTCAGTCCGAACTCAGAAAACAAGTAGGCCGAAACATATCTGAAAATATATTGATGGTCATAATTTTGTAGCTGTTCATGGTCAACTATGAAGCTAGTACGCTAAAGATTTGTCTGGACATTTTAGATCTCTGACATAGCTATTCATGGTCAACTATAATACTGTAAAAATGTATTTGCAAGGGTCTCCACATACCTGACGAAAAAGAAGGCAAACATCAGTTTGTCTCTGTACGTACTCGACTTTGAAGCTAGTATTGTATCACATACCTGAATAATTTAAAATCTCCAAATGTATTGATGTATTACATGTTGCTCATGTATTAAATTTGTATTCTTTAGTAAAAGGAAGGGAACCCTTTACCCTCAAGATTGATTCAGTATTAATGATGCAGGGTTCATATTGGGCGAGCCCCTCTGGAAGAGTATGTGCCCTTGAGAAAACATTAAGAGGATATGCGGAAAAGAGAACAGATACCGTTCTAGTACCAGCTGTTGGATACAACTTCGGTTCATTGGGAGAGGCGTACGACTCCTATAACCTATATTCGTGGGAAATTGGGTTGGGAATAAGATACGGAAAAAGTAGGCTCAACGTCGAGAGAACCAAATGCATGCAAGAGATAGTATGTGGATGCTCCGTGAGTTCGAAATAGATTTATTATCCAGTTTGCTGCAATGGTTTCGTGAAAATGCACTGAACAATTTAAAAGGATATGTGCCAGCAAGCTGCCCCATGCACATATGAAGGCAATATATGAGGTTTCTTTTCGATCGAGAGGCGGATGATAACTATGAAGAGCGACGAACAAAGATAGTGAGTTGCTTCATTACTGCATTTAATATTAGTACTTGTAATTTAAGCTTTACAAATCTTGCTAGAAACTAACAAAGAAACTTTTTATGTACAAGGTGAACACACCACCGGAGTTCCACGCTAGCAAGATCTACACTCGAGCTATGTTTGAGAATTTTGGTGAGATCCTGTATGAAGCAGGACAATACAGTAGAAGTTAAAAATGGTTCGAAATATTACTTACACCGGTACCACCCAGAGAGATACGAGAAGTGGTGCAGAGTACTGTACATACTACATAGTGCATGTCGTCGCTGAGGATGAAGAACTCTCATGTGAATGTGGTAACTTCAAGCGCACAGGACTGTATGCTGCCATTCAGTTAAGGTACAGAATCACCATATTGAGACAAAATTGTAGGATCAGTGTTCAGGCTTGCTTCAAAAAACTGTATATACTCAACAATTTAAAATTGCATTGCAGGTTCTTGATTTCTTGGGTATAGACAAAATTCCATCAAAGCATATCCTCAAAAGGTGGACAAAAGATGCAAGAGATATACTTCCAACCCGCTTGTCACACCTACAAAGAGACAAGATTTCAGCCAATTCCATAACATTCAGACATTCAAATTTTTATACACATGCTTTAGAGGTTGTAAAACTTGGTGATGCAAATCCAATTGCATATGATTGTGCGATGGAACTTCTTAGGGTAGCAATGGATAAACTGACCTATTTAGCTGCTGAGCATGATGGTTTGGGTTTGCAACACAGAATTGAAATGAAGAAGACAAAAGGTACAGAATTGACTCTCTTCCAAGGAGCACAACATGGATACATGAGCGATGATGAAGGTAGCGCCGTCAAAAATTTCATTGGATTATCAGCTCCAGAACAGAAACGCAAGGCCGGTCAACCAACAAACAGCAGAGACAAGCCTCCATATGATGACCAGTCTGCAAAGAGCAAAAAAATTAAGGTCACATCACAAGTTGATACAGGTATTGGATGCAGTACAAGCAAACGAACACGGTTCTGCACTATATGTCGTGGCCCTATTCACAAGAGCACAACGTGTCCGCTAAGAGGGGACACTCCTCAAAAGAAAAGGAAAGAATCAAAATGCTCAATCTGCGGAGTGGGAGGGCATCGAAAGAACACCTGCACATGGAAAGCAACCTACTCATGATCCTGTTATCGAACCATGAGTAATCTATACAAGCAGCTAGCATATTTACCCTGTATCCTGACTGCTCTCTACCATGCACCTGAAATACTTATGTACTGTCATCTTAGTAATACTAGAAGAACGCCCGTGCGTTGCAACGGGGCCACATTAACTTTAAGAGTTCAATATTAATCATGTTAATAATACATTTAATATTCTCATACATATCAAGTGACACTGGTGACCTTTTTTTGTCAATTTAGCAACGGGCTCTTTATACATATCAGACAACTCGCTACTACTTAAACTACAACTATGGCTATCAATATTTTTTTTGTCAATTTAGCTCAGCAATAGTGTCTGGCTTAATAGACTGCTTTGCATTCACCCCTTAGAAGACAGAGAGAACCAACTCAACATGTCAGAAGATTAACAGAAATTTTATTTGTATGGCATGAACAGAAATTTCATTTGTATGGCATGAACATATAGCAGGAGCACCAACACATAGATCAGCAGAGAGCAGAGCACAACATGCACACGCTCGGGCCATCTATATCATACACACACAGCAATGCACACACGCATCACGCTGGCATACACATACAGAAAAGCAGGCACACATGCATCATGCGCATTGGCCGGTGCGACGCACGCAGAGCAAGTACGTACGCACGGAGAGCAAGCTAGCAAGCACGCACACGTCCAACCCTGCCGCTGCATGCGCTGGCAGAAGGTGAGGCAGCAAGGGAGACTGCACATTGAAGCTGTCCATGCAAGGCTGGAGGTGCTGGGCCGGCGACGGTGGTGTCGGGACGGCGCTTGATTCGTTCCCGGTGGCGTGGAGCTTGGGGCGGCAACGTGGCGATAGCTAGTGCTCGGGGATGGGGGTTTGGGGCGGGGGCAGTCGACCCAATGGCTGACAAAGTTAACGGGCTCGGGCGGCTGGAAATTCGGCGGGTGGCGGCGGCACAATGCGAGGATGGGACATGCGGAAAACCTAGCCGGCGTTCAACTACCAATACCCACGCCTTTTTTTAGAAAAATTGCTTGTGAAAATAAGGTGCGACGACGACTTAACGAGCGGATCCCCTTAAAAAAGACATAGCGAGCAGATTCCCTTAAAACTGGTAGGAATGGATACGATTGATGACGTTGATAAATAGTGGTGAATGTTGGCCTAATTTACTATCATCATGCATGGAAACGAATCATCAAGAAAAAGAATACTTCCTATTACTACACTCATAGGAAGCTTCCTAATCTCTGCTACCAAACAGTTTCTGCCCAAACAAGGAAGGAAAGTTATGGACGTGATTCGGAAGGAAACAAACATTATCAAGATTAATTAATTTAGATTTGATCTTTAGAGATTGATTGTGATTGATTCTTTTACATAAAAACATTACTAAATAATTTGCGTCAGTATGGAAAGTTCTGATCCGTTCAGTTTTTTTCGTTGTGTGAGAGGGTGAAGTGAAAATAAACCGATGAAGTGGGGGAGGCGACGAAAAAATCTACGACGGTTAACCTATGAAAAAAACCCGGACGAAAGTGGTGGGACGAAAAAAAAACGTAGAAGCGAGACTACCAACTGCTCCATTAGGAGTAGAGATGTATTTGCGTGAGTCCCTGAGCTGTCTAGATGTGTTGTTTAAAACTATTTCATGCTTTATGGTCCTGTAACAAATATCTCAGATTAATCTCCATGTGCTACTGATGACATATTCATCTACTATCCATTACATACACGCATGCCTCCATTTTTAATTCTTGTTTTAATGGTAAAATCCCCTGAAATGTCGCCCTATCATTCATCTATGCAAGTACCAATCATTTCAAATATTGCTGGATTTTCGCTATTTTCCCCTCGTATCCTGAAAGCTCACTTGCAGTGCCTGATAGCTAAATTATGTTCTGTATTTGTCGGATGCCCTGAATTATGCGGATGTACTGTTGAAATGTAATTTTGAAGGCGATGTAACAAAATAATTCAGATTAATCCTTGTATGGCAATCATGACATAATCAGCTGCTACTCCCTGGACTCACTAACTTATCTTATTTTTCCCTGGTGTTTTTTCCTGGAAGAAATAAGCAGTTAGAGACGGAGAGGTTGATTCGGTCCGATAATAAATGGGCTAGCTGGCCCGCACAAGCACCGCTCCCCACCATAAACGGGATCAACTACGCGCTGTTACCCCTGTTGCTGTTCCACTAGTACACCTTGGCACATAACCAATCCCCGCATCAGGGCCAAATGCCCGTTTAACCCCACCTCCATTACGTACGTATGCCAATTCGTAACTCCGTGTATGCCCTGCATGCCCCATCAGGAAACATATAATATAGAGTACAACCCGCATCCCCACGTCAGGTTCCATGGTGGGAAATAACAGGAGCGTGCGCGCTTGTCCTCTCCTACCAATTTTCGTGTGATGATACCACTATGTTACCCATACATCTTTCTATGTTGGCGCTGGATCTTGCAACTTGTATTAATGTAAAGGTTTTTTCAGCCATCTAGATTTCTAACCGGAAACTCTGAGGCACATGTTCTCCAATTCTATCGACTGACTAGTGAGCGTGGTAGGCGTCGAACGGGTCTCCCAAGCACCTTCAAGGCATTTCTGTCATCAAGCGGATATAACATGTGGCGTTGGAGCAGGAACGAGGGCGCCATCGATCGAGCGGACATAGGAGGTATCAATCATCTAGTGGCATGAAGAGTAGTCAAATCACCAACGAGAGGTGGGGATGTTGCAATGGGATTGGGGATCAAAATCAAGAGTCTTTCCCAAGGCCGGTGACCCACGGGACCCTAGCTGCTGCCGGGCACCCCACCCTAACTCTTCAGCTGACACCACTATTACCGACCAACCTCACAGCGACGACGAGCCCCTCGCCATCGAAGGTGTTGAGGGGGGAGCTCGTTGGGTGGCTCGATAGCACTACAGAGTCGCAACCACGGGGTGATGCTGCAAAAAGACAACATGAGCCACAAGCGCGGTGTGCAGGTGCCATGGCATGGGGTGATGTTGTTGTATGGTGACATAGAGGATCGGTGGAATTTATGCGGCGCATGCGCACCCCAGATGCCGCCACTAAACCTTTTCCTCGAGGGGGGGGAGTGAGAGTCACCCTGCATCTGGATCGATTTGATTAAGAACAAAAGGAGGAAGAGCTGATTAGCTACCCGTGCCCACCTTCTACTGAGAGTAACACTTCAACTCATACATTGTTTAGCGTCCATTCATTCTTACCGAAGGATGAATGCTATGATAATTGCTATGATCCCGTTGATTCATTTGAAATATCCCTTTTTGATGAACTTGATGCTTGCTATGCTTGTGGCCAAGATGCCAATTTGAATTATATTTATGAAGATGAACTTGCTATAGTTCCATATGTTAAGAATGAAATTGTTGCTATTGCACCCAAACATGATAGTCCTATTATCGTTTTGAATTCTCCCAACTACACTATATCGGAGAAGTTTGCACTTATTAAGGATTACATTGATGGGTTGCCTTTTACCGTTGCACATGATAATTTTGATGAATATAATATGCATGTGCTTGCTACTCCTAATTGCAATTATTATGAGAAAGAAACTACATCTCCGCCTCTCTATGTTTCCAACATGATAGAATGACACGAAACTTCTTATGCTATGCATTGGCCTTTACTTGATGTGCATGAATTGTTCTTTTATGACATGCCGATGCATAGGAAGGGAGTTAGACTTCGTCATTGCATGATTTTGTGTTGCTTTGTGCTCATTACTAAATGATAA